ATGAGATAACTTTCTATATTATGAGGAATTGTGCTTATCTTTTCTCTGCTTACTCATCCTATAGCTTGAGAAATAAGATGAGCATCAAACTTAGCTAATTATAAAAACAAATTGGTAATTTAAACTTCTCTAATTTGATTTATAGTTGGAGATTACAAATACTATAGGCTGGACCTCTATAGTTACTTGTAATATAGTTATAGTCTCGAACTTTTTTAAGATTATCTTTCCAAATAGCTTTTTATATATTCAACATTCTTTAGCTAAATTATACATTTTTTCTTCTTTAGTAGTTAATTTTTTCATTGGTTCTCTAGGCCTACAATAAATTATATTTATTAAATAATATATTATTCCTATATCTACTCTAAAGGGATCTCTTTTATGAGCTTGATAAAGACCTTTAAGAAGAATTAATTTCTCATATTCTTTACTAAAATTGAGATAAATTTTACCTAATTTCTATGACTGAAATATATTAATACTGATAATATAATCTTCTGCTATCTTTTCTAGTATTATTCCTGATTGTAATATTTTGATTAATTTTTTCGCAGAATTTTATATTATATGACCTCCTGTAAGAAAGTCTTGACATTGTTCTACTTCTTTTTTTATTGTTTTAATAAATTCTCTAGCAGGATCGTCACCTCTAATTTTTACTAGTGTTTTGATTTTGCCATTACTATATCTAATTATATAATCAAATGATATAACTTTATGTTCTTGTATTGCTATCGTTTTCAATCCTTAATTTTTTTTAATCAGAGTGGAGAGAGTTTCAGCATCTGCTATACAAGTAAAATGCATATCTAATATTCATTTATATTATCTAAATTTATATATATTCTTGCCTACCAATAGCATTACTGTTTTTTGGACTGGAGTATTAATTCCTTCACAATCTTTCATATGCTGAGCATCAATTTTGGAGTCATGGGTTTGGTAGCTTACACAATAATCACAAACATATAACTTGCTATTGTGTTTAGTCATATATCCAGCTAATTCTTCTAATCCTTCTCATCCTTAAATCAAACAATAATGTTAAGATGGTTCTCCTGTTTCAGGGTCATCTCCAGTAATTAATAAAAGCCTAATCAATTTATATGGTTAACAATTCCCTTCTTTATAATTACATCTATTACATACTTTGGATTTAGATGCAATTCAAATTAGAATAAGTTCCTTTTCACTCCATCCATAAATTAATACTGATATAGAGGATTCTGTTTCTCAAATTTCTCTATTGTATTATTGTCAGCTTTTACTGGAAATTGAAACACTTTGAAATTTAACTAACCTAAATGAGGATTTTAATTTTGAGGTCACTCTTATTGATAAGAAGCTGAATATAAATCTTCTAAAATATATCATTCAAAGCATCGATTATTTTCATTCTTAATATTAATAATTCTATTATTTCATTTTGGTATTCCTTTAGATAATGGAAGATGAGAAGTAGCAGTTAATGGAACAAAGATTGGTATTTCAATATTTACTTCTTCTGATACTTCATAAACACAGCCTGAGCCTTCAACAATATAAGTTTTATTCGATTTTCAATATCTCTAATAAGTTCATCTACAATTCTTAAAATATCTTCTTTAACAGTTACTACTACTGCTTTATTTTTGAATAGAACTTCTTTATAATCTATTTCACCATTATCTTATTCTATTTTATCATCAAATAACTCTGCTTGATAATTTGCTGATCAACTCATTTTTCCTCTGAGGCATAATTGTGTTTTGAACCTATGTATGAAGTCAAACTGATCATTGAAAATATTTATTATTTGTTCTCCAAGTACCCCAAGAGTATTGATAGGGTCTTATATATATACACTTTCTTTTTTTATCTCAACTTTATAATGATTATCTAATAATTCACATCCAGAACTAATAATATTAGTTTGATAAAATTGCAAAATAGATTTTAATATTCTTAATACTTCGAGATATTCTTTTTTAGCTTCTTGTAATGAAATAATCTCAGCAATTTCTGGAGAATCAAATAATCTCAATGCATCAAGAAATTCTATTTCTGGATTAGCTGGCAGAGTTGGATTCTGATTTAGTAAATTTTGGTAGTAATATAGATTTTTATTACTATTATAATGTTGACAAAGTTTTTGTGGTGTTGAATATATATACCCACAGCTTTTACATGTACGATTTTGTTTACAAGTCATATTAGTTTTATTATATACTTATAGAAAATTGTTTAAATTGAATTTTTACCTTATATAAAAATGAGTACTATATATACTTGCTCTTTTGTTAATTATTCTGACGAAATTTGTATGCATTGTAATACTCACCCTGAGAGTTGCTATTTTTATTATAAAGCTTTACCTCATAATTCTTGTTCTGAATATAGCAAACCTACTCATTCTATTTCTGGTCATTGTTCTAAACATATTAGAGAGTTTTATGTTTCTAGATATTTTCAGAAACATCTTAAGAAAAATCATATATAAAATTAGTTAGAGTTAGTTGAAAGTTAATATGAAATTAAATGTGTTATAAAATAGCAATTTTGGAGTAAAGTGTTGATCTAACTTTTTGGTTAAAGTTTTGTTTTAACTTTTTAGTTAGAGTTTTGTCTTAACTTTTTGGTTAGAGTTTTGTCTAACTTTTTTACAATTTTTGCTGAAAAGCAGAATGCTAAGTGTGACAACAAACTCATAAACCAATCATAACTTAAATAATGATTGAAAAGTAGAATACTAAGTGTGATGACAAACTCATAAACCAATCATTACTTGAAATCTGATAGTTAGGTGTTCTGTCACTATAAAAGAAAGGCTTTAAGTAATGATCAAAAAGCAGAATACTATACATATTTCAGTTCGTAAACTAATCATTACTCAAATGATGACACATATATATTTCCATTCTCATAAGTATGATGACGAACTCATAAACCAATTGTTACTCGAATGACGATGGTTAGATTTTCTATTAGTATAAACGAAAGGCTTTGAGTGAGAATTGAAAAGCAGAATGCTAAGTGTGATGATAAACTCATAAACCAATCATCATTTGAATGATGACGGTTAGGGTTTCTGTCCCAACTCTCCTATAAATATACTACTACAATACTTTAATTAGTAATTAAAATTATATACTAAAATTCTATTAAGCATTTAGCCTATTAGCCACTTAATTTAGAAATCATCTAAAGCGAAGCAGTATTATATGATATCTGATCAATCAATATATAGAATTCTGATGATCACTAGCGAAGCAAAACAAGAAATAAATGAAAACCCTGAAAAATACAAAAAATGGTAGTATAAATCTACATTGAGTGAGTTAATTAAAAATATTAGGAAGGCAATTTTGCTTTTATATAATTACCTAAAACCTAACTCAACTCTAATATAAGATGACTTTAATTTTAAAGTTAATTTAATAAAATATATATTATAAGAACTTGCTTCGCTTTAGATGTTCTCTTAATTTAGTCAGTATTAAAAAATTCTAATTCATAACAAATTTAATTTCATCAAATTCTACTAAACTAAAAAACAATATTAAAAAAAACTCTAATTTTTAACTAGATATAATAAATAATATATGAATTTATTATTATACACTCAATATGATAAATATACACAAACAAATATATAAAAAAATTATATTCAGACCTCTTGCCTATAATTAAACAGAAGCTTCGTACTATATAAATAAACTGCTCTAAAAGTATATATTTAATCCTATATAAAATTTTCTAGACTATTCTATCCCTTAATTTGTATGCTTTTTAGGCAAATTTGACTGAAAAATTTTTATAAATATACTTATGTTCTATATTTTTTAAATTTTAAAATATTTGTCCATCTGACCAGCTATTATTTAATTTAATAGATAATTCATTACAACATACTCTCAACACAACCATATTTGACACTACCGATGATATTATAACAAATCTGCATTATGAGATTAAACAACTATACTGCATGACTATACACAATATATCAAATACACCTTTAGTCTTCTCAACACTATCTGGCCTAATGCCAAATGAAATTATCACTTCAGTTTCAAACTTATCAACCCAAAAAATAGCTGCAACACTTGTTATCAAATTTTTACTTCATCTTAATTAACAAGTTTATTATAAAATCTAGATTCTCTATTATATTTCTAGATCAACAGCCCATTTTTTTACTGATAACCTACCTTCTAATTCTACTTCGCACATATTCCAACCTCTTCCTATTACTTCTATTAGCTCTAAGATAAATTCTTGGTATATACACTGGATCAAATACCAAACCAATCTTTCTTATATTATTACTAATACCCAAATCTA